TGGTGATCTTCAGGCTCCACCTGGAGGTTGGCTGTCCTGGCCATAGCAGTCAGTGCTTCAGAGCAGGGTCTGCTAGATCCAGGTTCTTGCTGTAGAAGCTGAGTGGGTGATTTTGGACCAGTCACAGACTTTCAGCCTAACCTACCTCACAGGGTTGTTGTGCAAGTCAAAAGGGGGAGAGGAGAATGATGTAAGCTGCTTTGGTCCCCATTGCATAGAAAGACTACTTTTCCTCCTGGTAAGCCATTGTTGCCAATCTCCAGGTGAGGGCTGGAGATCACTCAGAATTACAACTGCTCTCCAGATGGCAGAGATCAGTTCCCCTGGAGAAAATGGTGGACTCTGTGGCAGTCAGGGCTTCAGAGCACGGAAGAGGCTGCAGGTGTGTGTGTGTGTGAAAATGGAAAGCTGAAGAGAGGTGGGGAAATGAAGGTAGGTTGATGATTGGCTGGGAAGGAGATAGGGCTGCCAACTCCAGGTGGGAAATTCCTGGAGATTTGAGGGATGGAACCTGAAGAGGGTGAGGTTTGAGGAGGGGTGGGACCTCAGACAGGTACAATGCCATAGACTCCACCCTCCCAACCAGCCATTTCCTTCTGGGGAACCACTGTTGCCAATCTCAGGAGGAAGGTGGAAATCACTCAGAATTACAACTGATCTCCAGGAGGGAGGGGGGAGGAGATGCAAAGCTGAAACCAGAGGGGCAGATAATGACAGGTTGATGCTTGGCTGGGAAGGAGATAGGGTTGCCAACTCCAGGTTGGGAAATTCATGCAGATTTGAGGGGTGGAGCCTTGAGAGGGTGAGGTTTCAGGAGGGGTGGGACCTCAGACAGGTAAAATGCCATAGACTCCACCCTCCAAACCAGCCATTTCTTCCTGGGTAACAATTGTTGCCAATCTCCAGGTGAGGGCTTGAGATCACTGAAAATTACAACTGCTCTTCAGGTAGCAGAGATCAGTTCCTCTGGAGAAAATTGTGAACTCTGTGTCATTATACCCTGCTGAGGTCGCCACAGTACATTGATGCTGAGTGCCCAAGGCAAAGGCACTCTCCCAGAGCCTCTTTCTAGAGCTCGTTGTATTTATTTCCACAACGGGCCTTATTCCAAGTAAATAAAATAAATAAATAATATATTCTTTTGAATTATGGTGCTGGAGAAAATTCTTGAGAGTCCCTTGGACTGCAAGGAGATCGAATCAGTCAATCCTAAAAGACATCAAGCCTGACTGATCCCTGGAAGGCCAGATACTGAAGCTGAAGCTCAAATACTTTGGCCACCAAATGAGAAGGGAGCACTCACTGGAGAAGACCCTGATGCTGGGAAAGATTGAAGGTAACAAGAAGGGGACGACAAAGGATGGGATGGTTAGACAGTGTTACCGATGCAATGAACATGAAATTGAGCAAACTGTGGAGGACGGCGGAAGACAGGAGGGCCTGGCGTGATGTGGTCCATGGGGTCGCGAAGAGTCGGACTTGACCGTGTGACTGAACAACAACAGTATGCCTATATCCTGGAACTTCAATTTATTTAAAATTCTTCTACCTAGCACCTGCCAGGAATAAGAAGTATACTACATCTCTGCTCTAAGAATTCCATTAGTTACCAATACATATATGGTTCTCAGCATAATTCAAGATTCTGGTTTCAGTTCATAAAACCCCATAATGTTTCAGTCCAAAGTATCCAAAGAAGCATTTACTCCAGTATGAACCCTACTGCCTACTAAATATCTGCATCAAGACTGTCATTAAAATTCCATTTCAAACAGAACAGAAACATTTCAGTTGTTGCCCTGATAAGAAACTAATTCCTCTGGGATGTTTGATTATTCTTTTTTACCTCTTTCTACAAGTTAGGGAATGATTGCTATTTGTTCTTGAATATCTGACATTGGGTAAGAACTGGATTTTTTCTGCTTTGTTTGTTGTTCATTTTGTTCTTATGGGGATTTTACTGTGGGTTTATTAAGTTTTCGTAAATGTTTCTGTCTTTACATACATTGTGATCTGCTATGAGAGGTGTTTAGATGTAAAGCAGGGTAAAAACTTCATAAAATAAAATATATCTCTCCTTATATATAAAATGTTTTTGTGTTCCACTTTCCTCAATATTCCACATGCTCCCACAGCCTTTGGCTCCCTCAGCTGCCACTCTGAAGGTCTGCCAATCCCCTGGCTGCATTGCCTTGGCCCCACCCACAGAACCGGCAGTCAGCGCCTCACCCTCAGTCTGGAGGGAGCCGGCGAAGGGGATGGATGCTCCGCTGAGAGAGCAGCAACTCCTCCACAGGGGAGAAGGAGGCAGACCTAGCGAGACTGCAAGCAGGGGAGGCACTCACCTTCGCTACCCTTTGCGGCCCCTCTCCCTCAGCCGCAAGGCCGGCGCTTTGTCAGGGTGATATTTCAGCAGGCTGCACAGCAGAGAAGGCTGCCCAGCACCTTTTAAAGGCTCCCCCGCCGACCTTCAGCAGTGGCGGCAGCGCCAGGGTGGGTCTGGCCCAGAGGAAATCAGCTGTGGCTCCTGGAAAGCTGGACTCTCTCCTGAGGAAGACACTTCTCTTGGCTGCTGTGTGGGACTAACTGTGACTAACTGTCCCCTCAGTGGCTGTTGGTAGGCAACCAAGCTTGCTTCTGTCAGTAAAAAACCAAAGGACTTTCAGCATAACCCCCTCCCCCGCCCACTGCCAGCTTGGCCACTTTGCTGTCAGAATAAATTTAAAACGGCTCGCTCTCCTTTTTGGCTCCACCAGGTCTAGCTGGCTAATCAGGTGGGCCAGCAACCATCAAACCATTCTCTTCAACCCCCTGCTGTGTGGCTGACTTTCCTCTAGGGTTGCCAATCTCCAGGTGGGATCTGGAGATCTTCCGCTGTTACAATTGATCTCCAGATGACAGAGATCAGTTCCCCTGAAAAAAATGGCTGCTTTGGAAGGCAGACCCTATGGCATTATCTCCTGCTGAGTCCTTCCATCCCCCCCAGTGCTGCCCTCCACAGGATCCACTCCCCAAATCTCCAGGTATTTCCCTAATCAGAGCTGGCAACTGTATTTCTCCTCAGTGCCTGTTGATAGGCAACCAGGTTCTGTCAGTAAAAGGCCCTTTCCACACCTGTTTTGGCCTTTGAGAGAAAACTGAAGAACCTGAAGATGGAACCTGAAGAGGGTGAGGTTTCAGGAAGGGTGGGACCTCAGACAGGTACAATGCCATAAACTCCACCCTCCAAACCAGCCATTCCCTTATGGGGAACCATTGTTGCCAGTCTCCAGGGGAGGGATGGGGATCACGCAGAATTACAACTGCTCTTCAGATGGCAGAGATCCGTTCCCCTGGAGAAAATGGTGGACTCTGTGTCATTATACCCTGCTGAGGTCGCCACAGCAAATTGACGCTGAGTGCCCAAGGCAAGGGCACTCTCCCAGAGCCTTTTTCTAGAGCTCATTGTATTTATTTCCACAGCAGGCCTTATTCCTAGTTGTAAAATAAAAAGGCAGATTCTACAGAAGTTGTCATACTTTAGCTCATACAAGAAGTTGTATGAGAGAAAGGCCTTATTTTGATTCCCCTAATTGTGAACAAAAGTGATAAAACACTGCCATTCCATGAGCACCAGGTGCCTTCTGCATTTAGGAGGTCGCCTTTGCATGCAACCTGTGGTTTTATGTTCATTTTGTCTTCAAGTTTGAAAAGCATCTGTCTCCTCCATTCACATTAAGGGCCAGTAATCATCCAATTATGCTCTAAAAACAAAGAAATCTTTGCAGGATGAACTCGGCTTTCACCTAGACACATACACATGCTTGAAACATGAATGGCTAGCATACAAATATTTTACTTTATTTTTACTAAGAAGTCTGTTAGGTCATCACAATTATAAATTCAAGTACCATCCATCTTATTGGCAGGCATATGAATGTACGAACATCAAAATCTCTACAAGAATCACACATTAGGTACTAGTATCCCAGACACAACATTAATGTTTTTTCAAAGACAGTATAATTGTTTATCCTCCCCCTCCCCCATTTCTTTCAAAGCTTGTGTACATAGGTTTAAAATAACTGCTCTTGGCATCACAAGTTTCCTTAACTCTGAAAATCATTTTTCATCTTTGCTTATAGCAGGGTTTTTTTGTGCTTAGGCAGTTCACAATTAGCATTGCTCTCAGCACACATAAAGTGTTTGCCACAGAAATGGATGTGGCCATTTAATACAATCCAATATTATCAGCAAGCAGTTTGCTTGCCACTTCAAACTGGTCATAAATCCTTTAATGTGGTGTTGTCCCTCATCTCCTTTAGAACTGGATTCTCTGTAGGCATTGTCTCCTCAAAGATTTTAAGGGTTGTGTTTTTGATTCTAGCAATGGGAAATTTTAACACTTGGCATGATGATGGCTTACAACAAACTCTTTACCTTTCCAGTCTTTACAGAGCAAAGTTTTTGAACATCTTTTACTACTTATGAATCACAGGCTGATAAAATATTTTTGAATCATTCACAGTGCAATATTTTATGGCCTAAACAAACTTTGTATGTATATATATAATTAAAAATAAAAATTTTCCCATATAAAAATAGAATGCTTTGAAAGGATTTACACCAACAAAACTAGCTATTTGCCTACACCAGACAGTCTATACAGTAGTATGCACAGAATTCCACAGGAACAGAAATTGAAACATGACGCTCAATCTAACATTAAGAGCATGGTTGCGTGTTTGTTCCAAAACCTACATCTCTCTTTAAAATCCCTCTTTATTTTGGTCATGTCAGAACTGCAGAACCAGCTGAATGCAACAAACAGCTATCAGCTGCATCACATTCAATTCTTGATGTTGCTATCCACTTGTGTATGGCATTGCCCAGATGAGCAACAATCACACAGTGCTGCACTTCTTTTGGTTCTGAGTTGGCCGAACTCATCCTTTTGTTTCTTCAGCTGTAACTCTTCCTTTGAACCACATATACACATGGCTACTAAATCTAGTTCAGCTGCCTAGCTGCCCACTCTGACCTTCTGAATTGTTTAACTATGATTTCTTAATCTACATTCTGGAATGCTAATGATCACTCTTTGGCCTACTGGTTTAATAGGCATTCTCCACCATGATGCTGGATGGAAATATTCTATTCACTATTTGCAGTGCCTTTGATTCTGTAAAGCTGCTGCAATAATTTCATCATGTAATAAAACTGTGACTCAGAATTCTAAATTGTTTTTAAAACCAATCACAAAAGTGGTTATTCTCCCAGACAACCAAGAAAATGATTTTCGAACAGCCAAGACTGATAGAGCAAGCAAAGCAAATCTCATGAAATACAGATGAGAATTTTTTTTGCAATCCTGGAATAGTCATTATCTGGCTTGGCACTTATGCAACAACAACAAAAAATGCTGACTTCAGGCAGCAATAGTGATAATTCATCCTCTAGTGCCTGGCACTCTGCATTACTGATGACTCTCTGAATTCATCAGCTGTACACGATATAATTTATAACACCAGCTGGATTGCTCACAAAGCTGGCAAGAGATAAGATGTTGTGGTAACAGTGGACAGTACAGACTGCTGTAGCTTTCAGCAATGTAGAATTGCCTCCTTGAAATAGTGCAATTTGTATGATGTACACGACAGTGCTTTTACACAAACCAGGTGGCAAAAAAAGTAGTTGGCAATCATTGAGGGTTTTTCTTCCTCCCCTGGTTGTATAGTAAAATATATCTGGTCATGTATCTGAATCCCTATCAATGTTGTCTTGGGATGACAGAAGAGAAGGATAAGGTGCAATGCATTTCACGTTGACATAGGTAGCGTTCACGTGAACATAATGTTCCCCAATGAAAGTGGCGAAGATGGTTGATATATCTGAAACTAGCTCAGAGAATGCTGGCCGTAGTTCAGGTTTGGGATGCCAACATTTAAGCATGACTTTGTACCTGCAGTTGAAAGAGGGGAAAAAAATTAGTTTTTATCTTTAAAACTTTTGGTTGGCTCACTATTTTTACATTTATATCCTGCTTTTCTACTACAAAGTTCTCAAAGTAGCTTAGAAGACTTATAAAAACAGAACATTTCTTGCCTCTCCCTTCTGATTCCCAGTCTTTTAGCTTCTCTATCTGAGCAATTGTTCTACCTGCTCCTCCAGGGAAAAGCCAGGTCTTGCTCTACCACTCGTATTGGGCAGGTAGTTGCCTGGATAGTACCCTCCTTCTCTGTCTCTCTGCTCTTTCACAGGAGCCCTTTGGCTACAGTGATTCAGCTGTCGCATCACTGGCAATATCTTGCATTTACTTACAGTGGGTCTGGGCAATATTCAGGCTGTAGGAGTCTTCTTCCTTGCAGCAAATAAACAGTGATATCAAAAGAGTTGACATCTGGGTAGGGTGGGGCCCCTCTTGTCATCAGCTCCCAAAGTAATACTCCAAAGGACCACTGACAAAAGCAAAGGAAAACTGCATCACACAATTGGAGAGATTAAGGGCGAGAAAATGTCTTACAACAAACATTTTCAGAACAGGCTGCTTCATTCCGAGCATGGTAATGAAATGCTGCAATGAACATAAGAGCCAAGAAAAAAAACAAACCAGAAGGCTTGAAAAATACATTTGCTGCTTGTTTGGTAGGTATGAACTCCAGCAGGTGTTTATGCCAACAAAAATTGTGCAAGAGTAGAATATACATGGTACACTATTTTATTTTTTTTAAATATGGTGGGTTATTTTTAAAATACAGTCTCAAACTGCAGTCAAGCAGTTGCAGGCTGGAGAAAGAAGCCAATGGAACAGGCACATAAAAAATTGTGTACACAGGATCGCAGCTGTGCAGCAGTCCAACATAGACTAATTCTGCTTCAAACAGAAAGCTTTTAGGCTTGGAAAAGAGAAAGGGACTTGTTCAAGTTAAGTTGACCTAACTTCAAAGTTAGGGCACAAGCTTTCCTTTCAGATATGCAACTGGAGGGTGACTGAAATCAGTCACAAATTTATTACTGATTTTGCAGGTAGGGTATGTTCTAGAAATTTCACAATCTCAGCTAGGATTATCTGTAGTTTTAAGAAGCAGACAAAAGAAAAATAGGTGGAAAATCTAGTTTCATTTGTTTTACAAACTAGAAGAGCTGAAGCTTTGTTTTGATTTTAGATTCGATGTTTTGCATTAATCTACCACATCCTTTCTTTTTTCCCCTTAAATACTTCCAGGAATGTCTTGAAATGTGAAAAGTCAGCAAGAGCAGCATAAATAATTATAGGCACATTACCACATCTGACTTTGTAGTGAACTTCTGAGTTTGCAAACTTTCTAAGGCCATCCATTTTACTGGCAGTTTGGCTCCCGTTTTATTGTGTACGCTGTAGTACTCTTTATCATAGACATCTCGAGCGAGGCCAAAATCAGCAACCTTGACAGTGAATTTTTCATCCAGCCTAGGAGAAAAAAAATGACACCCCCCAAATTATCTGGAGCTGAGAAGACACAATTTACATCGTCCTTGAATATTTTAGGGCCTTTATGATATCTCTGAAACCAGAGTGTTTGAAGATACATCATCTTTTAACAAGGCTGGAGAACTACTGTAGTGTGTGAAATATTAATACCAAACAGGAAAAAATACCAACTCTACTGTGCTCTTATTGTCATTTTTAAAACAGCAGCTGCACTTGTTTAACAACAAAACCACAGTGAACCCATATGCGGAAATCTTTAACAGTAGATGCCCCAGTGTCTTTTGAAGTCTCTCAGACTTATGAAACCATTATCCTGCACATTGAAAGGAATGCAAGTGAGGACAAGTATGGACAATGTCCATTCTTATCAGTATGGCTGGCACCATGAATGTTTTTAGCTACTGTCTTGTTAAATGTTCTCTTATTTTACCTCCTGTCTCAATGTGGGAAGAACTGGTCAGGAACAATGGTGGGCTCATATCAAAAGAGACAACCATAGTCCAACCCACTCTGCAGCACACTGAATGTGGGCTGAGCTGGATGTCGGGTTCATGGAGTTGATCACACCACCATAAGCCCGTCATGGCCCAGCTGTATAGTAGTTTCTTGCTGGTCAAACAAATGCTCACCAGTAAGGCTTCCAATAGGTAGGATCTTAAAGAAAATAGAAGTCTAGTGGTGCCGTAGACTAACAACATTTATTTCAACATGGGCTTTTGTGAGTCAGTGCTCACATCTTCACATGTGAGCCACAGTTAAAACTTAAGAGCTGAGATTAAATTCGAACAAGGAAATTCCAGATAACTTGCAAGTGCCTCCACTATGCTATGTGCCATTGGTTCCTTTTGAATTGATGTACTGTAGACAAATGGTATGGGGAGAGGCCTAAACCTTTTTCCTCGTTGAGGTCGGTTCCATTATCTCAGGTCCTCATTCAATGTAATTAAACATAAAAAGATTTGTAATTAAAGATGCCAGGCTGGCCATTACAAAGGCTAGGGCTTTTTCAGTGGTGGCTCCACACTAGTGGAATGAGCTCCCGGAGGACATCAGGGCCCTGCGGGACCTTTTACAGTTCCGCAGGGTCTGTAAAACGGAGCTCTTCCACCAGGTCTTCAATTAGGAGCCACCAATGACAACCTTTGTAAACTGAACATACTACAGCCCAACGTGACAACGTTGGACATGGCCTCTCCCCATTGGACCATGTACAGAAATTCCCGCCATCTGTATATTAGCACTTTATGTAACTGTTCTTATTGTAATTTTATTGTATTTATTAGTTTTACTCCATTTTAACTTGTGTAAGCCGCCTTGAGCCAGTTTACACCGGCAAGACGGGATATAAATTGAAAGTAAATAAATAAAAATAAATAAAATAATTGGCAACTGGCAGCTGCATGCTTTTATGTGCTCAGCCTAGATTGATAATATGGAGCTGTGAGACTGACATGCTGCATAAACACTTATGAAACCTTGAAAAAATCTACACCCTCACATTCAAAGCAATAGTTGCTTTCTTGTGCTAATATAAATCAAACATCAATAATCCAAAACATAAATTCCATTAATTAATGTTAGCTAATTAATTAATCACTGTACCCATCAGTCACTGTGTTAACTAAACTGTTGGATCATCCAGCCACTAATAAGATTCTGTGCATAATTTTTGTTTATTACATTCTTATATGACCAAGGTCAAAGAAAAACTAAGGCAGAGCTATGTAAATAAAAACCAACTATCAAACAATCTTTTGTTTGTTTTCCCTCATGATTCCATGGTGTTTGTTTCTTTGAAATGAGGTAATGTAAAAAAGAAATGAAGTTTATAATTAATTCAGCATAAGGAAGCTAAAAGGCAAATTATGACAGTAATGGTTTAGTATTTGAAAAACTATTTGATGGTTGAACCATGAGAATGACAGTCATGCTTTTGTTTCCCCCACGGTTCAGTGGCACCAAAGCTTTGGAACTCCCAACCTAGGAAGATTCCTCTGTCTCCCTCTGTTGTTATTGTCGCCAGTGGGTAAATACTTTTTTGTTTTGTTTCGTGTACCCACAATAACTGTTGTTGGCTCTCCTCCCTCATTTTTATTAGTAGGTCTGCTCTGGCTTGCAGGTGTCCATGGTTTGGGCCTTCCTGCAGATACCATCATCTCTTTCAAGGCTGGATTTAAGAACGAGGTCATTAATTAATCACAAGCCACTGTGCTCAGCTGTATAATCAAATGGGAGGGGGGAATTAGGGGCAGACATTGAAATCCTCTGGAAAGTTCCATCAAAAGGGATTCCTGATTGGATCCAAAGGACCACCTGATGCCAGATGGCAAAAAGCTATAATAAGAATACAGACCAAAGGGAAGCCATGCTAGTATGCTTTGACATGCTATACTACATCATGATGGACTGCAACATACAGAATGCTTTAGGCTACTGCTTGAATTCTTATGCTGCAAGAAGGTGTCCAATCGAACACGAAGTACTAAATGCATTAAATAGAAAAGTTACCTTTTTTATTTCTTTGTTGCTAAGCTATAGAGACTGTACAGAATAGTGATATCTTTTCTAAAAAACTTCTGAATAAACTTTTATACATTTTGACAAAGGTCTATTTTATTTGTGTACATTTAATCTTTAGGACTCATGGGGCTGGGTGCTGCTCAGGCAAGAAGGAGTGGTGACCCAGGGGGACCCCGGCTTGGGTCTCTGACATAATGTTTTGACATTCATTTCCTCAGGAACCCTATTTCGGTGGAAAGGTGGCACAGAAATGTTTTAGATAAATAATAATAATAAATTATTACAGACAAACACAGGTCCTTGCCTAGACTGCCTCAATCCCAAGCTGCCTCTGGGATCATGAGAAGATCATTCATTCCTATGTTAGAACTAAGAAACCACCCTTGCTTTCATCAGTTCCTCTATAATTATTTTCAAGAGAATAGCTCATGATTTTAAAAAGGTGTCAAACAAGACTATGAATTAAAACAAAACAAAAAAGCCTCTGTGGATTGTTCAGAAGTAATGAAATTTCAGGAAGGGCATAGAGAAAGTCTTAAAGAATGCAGTCAAGACCATAGGAAAGATGGGTTTTTATACCAGAGTTGCTAGAACAGCAGAAAAGATGTAGAACAAATTTCAATGGGAAACTTCTATGCAGAAGAAAAGTCTAAAAGTCTTTGTGAAGCTCAGCTGGACTGGGCATACCAATTAGGGATGGGCATGAACCGGGAAAATGTGGTTCATCTCAGTTTGTGGTCAAATCGCAAACCGAACTGAATGGTTTGTTTGCGAACCCAACAGGTTCATTGCCCGCAAACTCTGTTGAAAGGCGACCACAGTCCTTTTTAACAGGGTTTGCAGAAAGCCTGAAAAACAGCTGAGCGATCGGGAGCAGCCTGCTCCTTCCTGCTCCACAGTTTTTTGGGCTTTCTACTGCAGTCCCTTTAAAGTTTAAATGGACTGCACAAGACAACCCAAAACAGCTGAGCAGCAGGAGCACCTCCCCACCTCTCAGCTGTTTTTGTGGCTTTCGCAGGAACAGAAAGCAGGGATTTAAATTCCTGCTTTCGGCTCTATCCATGAACCACCACAAACTGCTTTAAAAGGAACTTCAGTTTGCGAACCATGAACTGGGTAAAATTCATGACGAATTCTGCTTTGTGATTTGGTTCGTGCCCATCCCTAATGCCGATTACATACATGGAACGCAATGGTCCTGAGACCACCAGGTGCAAACCTCTATGTTCCACAACATGAGTAATAAAGTAATGCCATACAAAAGTGGAATGTTCTCTCATCCAGTATTCACCGAGACATCATTTTACAGATAGCATGGAAATTGGTTGACATATACTTACATGCAATTTCTTGCTGCCAAGTCTCTATGGACAAATTTCTTGCTTGCAAGGTATTTCATCCCCTTTGCCACTTGCAGGCCAAAGCCAATCAAATCTTTTACTGTTGGATTCTGTAAAACATAATGGCAATTACAGTATTGTAATATAGCAGAATTAATTTATCTGACAAAATTCAAGTGATAAGGTTAGCCTTTGTTTTTAGTATTGATAAGTTCTATTCATTTATGCAATATATTTATATTTTCAATTCTCTTTTAACATACCCGAGGCAGCTATGCCTTTGCTTTTATCACAAGTTCTTGTATTGTGAGAAAAGGAGAAAAGTACTTCTTTCTCTACCTAGAATGAGACTCCCTTTCTCTCTCTCCTACTACAGCCCAAAATGTCCCTGAAACACTACTTCTAGTGCCTGGAGACTCCCGAGGACAGCATGAAAGGGAAGTGTGTACCGCAACAGGGGGGAATTGGTGAAAATCTTCCCTCCTTCCATTTGCAGAAATCCTCCATATATCCAGCCCAATTTTCTGAAAACCTTCAAGAGAAGTTTAGAGGAGGAAAAAATGGGGTTAAGCTAAGACACCCTTTACTTAATTACAATATTAGTATGTGTCATGATCTGTGCAGGACTGGGAGCATGGCCTAGTGTGGCCTGGTCCCAGGAGAGACCTGCATGGCATTGAGCAGACAGCCTACAGTCCCCATAAGGCTTAGCAACGGGCTATAGCCAATCAGAGAGGCAGATTCTGTGAGGAGACTGTGAACTGTGGGAGGAGGGTCGGTCTTAGCCGTTAACTGAGGAAAAACAGGGTGTTCTTTCGGGTCTCTCTCTGCGGCCTGGTCTCACTGTGGGGACAGGCTGGTCTGGGAGAGAGGAAGATCTCCACTGGGCTCAGCGTGAATGCTAGGTAGGCTGGGGGCCTGGAAGTAGAACAGGTAGCTGTGTTAGTTTATGTTTATTTTGCCTTGTCTTGTTTTCCCTGCCCCAGAGTTGTTTTAATAAACCCTTCTGTTAAATTATTTTCTCTGCCTGGGTCAATCACGCCTGTGTGTTCTCGGCTAAAACAAGGGGCATTTTGCATGGGCTTGAGAGGGTACCCTGGGCCTTCACAACAGGGACCATAAGTCCAGGGTGGTGGTGGCGGAAGGTGGAGACCCCCTGGGGTCATGACAGTATGTTACAATCATATGAAGTATACTGAGAAACATCAGCTGAAGCTAACTCATGAAGCTAAGCTGAAAGAGGGCCAGGGCCACTTTACCACCCCATTAAACTTTCCAGATTGCTCCTAGGATATATTTGAAATTTGTGGGCAGGCAACACCAATTTGGTACACCGCTTAAATGTAACCATCACAACAAATTGTGGTTAGATCAAAGACTTCCTAAACCAGTTAGCTTTCAATGTTCTTTTGTGTACAAAAGGAATGCACAAGCCACAAACTCATTCCTGTACAGTCTGGGTAGAAAGTTAATGAATGACAATTCTAAAGCTGGAAAAATATTTCTTGGTAGAGTAAACACTGTCCTCTATTTACTGTAACTAACCTTAGACCCCACCTCTTAGAGATAGCTTCCTGAGTCAATAGTAGAAAGGGAAAAAAATTAGGGAGACAAAAGAATTCTGGAAAATGATTTTGTGACATTTGTGCTAAAGAAAGCTTAGCAGATGAATAGGTATTGAATGATAACAGCTTTGATGAACACTGGAGGATGAAATAATTTCTTGTCTGGAAAACAACATTAAAGTACAAGGAATCAAGCAATTCTCACAGATGATTGACAACAATTTTCTTGGCCTTGCATATTCTTTCACAGGGAAAAGAGAGGCTCAAAAGCGGAATGTAAAAGTGGACTGACTACCATCAGTCAATATAGCTGGTTGGTCTGAGGCTTCTGTGGAGACCATCAGTTAAGAACAATGACCAGATTGGACATTCCAGTGCTCGTGGGGAGGAGAAAGTACAACAGTGGGACCAAACATGAATATAAAGGAAGGGGCTCGAGATGCAAAAAAGCTTGACCCCCTTCCAGCTTGTGTCCCATCCCAACGGTTGCAGGCAGTGGGACTGGGATAAATAACCCTCCTCCGACATTGGTGTTGTGCAACGCCAGGTCCATAAATAATAAGACCATGGTCCTTCAGGACTTCCTGATAGAGCAGAGAGTGGACCTGGCGTGCACAACTAAGACCTGGGTGCAAGAAGGGGAGACAGTAGCTGTCTCCCAACTGGCTCCTCCCTGGTTCTTGGTCCTTCACTAATCATGAACTAGAGGGAGGTGTGGCTCTGCTCATCCAGGAGGCTTACTCCTTTAGGGTGCTCCTGCTACTGAAGAGCCCCCACCATAGATACAGGAAGCCATGGAGACATTGGCTATTTGGCTGGTATACCATCTGCCCAATGCACTGGCCAATGCCCTGCCATCCCTGGTGGAGACCATATCAGGCTGGGCAGTGGAGCACCCTAGACTAATAGTCTTGAGTGACTTCAATGTCCATGCTGAGGACGCGACCTCCACACAAGCAACAGACTTAGTGTCGTCCATGGTGGAGCTAGGAATCACCCAATATATTATGGCTCCCACCCATCAGGCGGGGCACACGCTGAATTTGATCTTCACGGCGGGGGTTACAGTGCAGGGGATTACTGCTCAGGTAGTGCCATGGTTGGACCACTATGCCTTAAATGCCCATGTGAACATACCACCCCAAACCTGTTTGGGCGGCGAGTGTATTTTAGCTTGCCCGGGGAGTCAAATGGACCCAGGATGGTTTCAGATGGGTCTGCGGGATCCTATGTCCCCTGGCGGTTCATTGGATGAGCTTGTGGCAGACTTTCTGCAGCCTTTCTGCAGCCATCGACGAGATTGCTCCCAGGCACCCTCTGCATCCCTGCTCCAGACTGGCTCCATGGTTTACCCCGGAGCTATGGCTGATGAAGTGGAGGCTAAGACGGCTAGAGAGGCAATGGCAGCATGCCTGTGATGAAGCTACAAGGGCATCCTATAGGTCATTTATGAGGACCTATGAGATGGCAGTCAGGGCCACTGAAAAAGAGTACTATGTGGCCTCGATTGCCTCTGCAAGCTCATGCCCAGCCCAATTATTTAGAACAATTCAATCTCTAACTACTCTGCCTCAAGGTAGACCAAATGCTAGAGAATTGGAGACTGGCTGTGAGGCTTTTGCAAACTATTGGCCAGTCTCTAACTTGTCCTATTTGGGCAAGATCATTGAGAGAGTGGTGGCAATTCAGTTGCAGAGCTTTCTGGATGATGCTAATATATTGGACCCATTTTAGTCTGGCTTTCATCCAGGTCATGGGACTGAAATGGCACCGGTTGCCCTCATGGATGACCACTGGAGGCATCTGGATTTGGGTGGATTGGTGGTACTGGTGTTGTTAGACCCATTGGCGGCGTTCAACATGGTCAACCACCAGTTACTGATCCACTTGTTGGCACTGGGATTCAGGGGTCTGCCTTATAGTGGCTCTCCTCTTTCCTACAAGGTCAGGGACAAAGGGTGGCAGAAGGGAAGCAGCTGTTTCAAAGGCACCTGCTGGTTTGTGGAGTGCCACAAGGGGCTTTTCTCTCCCCGATGTTATTTAACATCTATATGCGTCCCCTTGCCCAGATTGCCTGGAGGCATGGGCTGGGATGTTACCAGTATGCGGATGACACCCAGCTCTATCTGTTGTTGGGCAGCCAGTCTGACTCAAGACCGGAAGATCTAGACCTGGTGTTACAGGCCATGGCTGGGTGGCTCAGGCTGAGCCGACTGAAACTGAATCTGACAAAGATGGAGGTCCTGTGCCCGGATCGGAGCAGTTCGGGGTTAGGGATCCCACTCACGACCTTCGATGGGGTGCTGTTGGTACCAGTGTTGGAGGTTAGGAGCTTGGTAGCGCTCTTGGATGCCTCCTTGACAATGGAAGTCCAGGTAGCAGTCACTGCCAAGTCGGCCTTTTATCATCTTCAGCTGATTAGGCAGTTGGTTCCCTTCCTCGAACGCGATGACCTGGCAACAGTGATCCATACGATGGTGACCTCGAGATTAGGAACAAGCAACAAACGGGGGGAAAGTGGTAGAAAACCCACTAAAATAGTCTTCATGGGAATTGAGGGCTAGTGCCAATACTAATTGATAAAGTTCCTCATCAAAGGCTCCTAAGTAAGCTCAAAAATCATGGGATAAAAGGAGAAGTCTTTTTATGGATCAAAAACTGGCTAATTAATAGAAAACAGAGAGTATAAATGGGCAATTTTCTCAGTGGAGGGTGGTAAGCAGTGGGGTACCGCAGGGATCAGTACTTGGTCCACTGCTTTTTAACTTGTTCATTAATGATTTGGAGTTGGGAGTAAGCAGTGAAGTGGCTAAATTTGCGGATGATACAAAGTTGTTCAAGGTGGTGAAAACCAGTGAGGATTGTGAGGCACTCCAAAGGGATCTGTCAAAGATGGGCGAGTGGGCGTCAACATGGCAAATGGGGTTCAATGTGGCCAAGTGCAAGGTGATGCACATTGGAGCCAAAAATCCTAAATATAAATACACATTGATGGGGTCTGAACTGGCAGAGACAGATCAAGAGAGAGATCTTGGAGTTGTAGTAGATAACTCACTGAAAATGTCAAGACAGTGTGTGACTGCAATAAAGAAGGCCAATGCTATGCTGGGGATTATTAGGAAGGGTATTGAAAACAGATCAGCCAATATAATAATGCCCCTATATAAATCAATGGTGAGACCTCATTTGGAATACTGTGTGCAGTTCTGGGCACCACACCTTAAAAAGGATATTATAGCTTTGGAAAAAGTGCAGAAAAGGGCAACTCGAATGATAAAAGGGTTGGAACACTTTCCCTATGAGGAAAGGTTAAAGCGCTTAGGGCTCTTTAGCTTGGAGAAAAGACGACTGAGGGGTGACATGATCGAGGTTTATAAGATTATGCATGGGAAAGAGCAGGTAAAGAAAGAGGTACTTTTCTCCCTTTCTCACAATACAAGAACTCGTGGGCACTCCATGAAACTGCAGCTATTAGCCACAAGGTATAGATAGGGGCTCTGGGGCAAGTGATGCTCTGTCTTCTTGGTGCTTGGGGGGGGTCAACAGTGGAAGGGCTTCTAATATCCTGGCCCCACTGGTGGACCTCCTGATGGCACCTGGTATTTTTGGCCACTGTGTGACAGTGTTGGACTGGATGGGCCTGATCCAACATTGGCGTCTCTTATGCTCTTATGTAATTGTAGCAAACCTTGAGAAGGTGCTTCTAGAAATCAAAAAGGTGCAATTTCAAACTATCAAATATTATGACACAATATAAGTTGTTCTGCTTCTGATGAAGTTTTGACACGAAACCAAGCGAAAGCTGGCTGCTTTGTAAACTTGAAACTTGAACTTAACTTGAAACTTGAACTTGTAAAAAACTTACCTGTAATGGATTAGCAATATTCTAATCATTGTTCTGGCTAGCAACACTGCTATTGGCATTGTTCTATTATATAGCACTGAGATATTGTATTGTTATGGTTAATATACCTTGCATATACATTTTGTAAATTTTGATATAGTATCTAAATATATAAGTGACTGTATTTGCGTACATGTCTAAGTGTTTTAGTGGGTTTTCTACCACTTTTCCCCAGTTGCTTGTTCTTTGTCTTAGTACTGGGAGGTCTATTTTTCTTGTTTGGGTTATTGATTGACTAGCACCTTGAGATTAGACCACTACATGGGGCTGCCCATGTCCCAAATCCGGAAGCTACCTCTGATGCAGAATGCGGCAGCCAGGCTGTTATTGGGTCTCCCATTGTGGGAACACATTCAACCTGTGCTGAAAGCACTGCACTGACTATCTATAGCATACCGGGTTTGCTTCAAGGTGCTGGTTCTTACCTATAAAGCCCTATATGGCCAGCGGCCTGCATACCTGAGGGACTGCCTTTCCCCATATGTTCCCCAGAGAGCACTGCATTCTAGATCTCAAAATCTCCTCACTCTTCCTGGCCTCAAAGATATCAGGCTGACCATGACCAGAGCCAGAGCTTTCTTGGCAACAGCACCTCTTTGGTGGAATGAGCTCTCTGAATGACATCAGGGCCCCGCAGGATTTACCACAATTTTGCAGGGCCTGCAAGATGGAGCTCTTCCGCCAAGCGTTCGAGCAAACGGGTTAAATAACACTAACTGAGTAAGATAGGCCCCTTAATCCATCTTGGCTGCTTGTTCTACATTTCTTCACTTATACGGAGAAATGATGTATACAGGAACCAAATTACCAGCCATACAACTAGCGCTGACCCTATGGCGACTGATTAGAATTGTTCCTGCCATCCTACCATACATAACACCTTATATTTTTGACATTACTATGTTTTTACAGTTATTGTTTTAATGTTTTATTGCCAAATGGCCTTGTAAGCCGCCCTGAGCCTCCTTTGGCAGGGAGGGTGGGGTATAAAATCAACTAAATAAATAAATACATTCACATTTATAAATTATGACATCAATCAATTAATGTTTTCAAGTGAACGTAACTGTGGTTACATATATGGGATGACTGTCAATGAAGGGGCCCAGGAATGTACATACGTGCGTCTCATTCCTAATGAAGTTTCGAAGATCTCCATGTTTCATGTATGGAAGCACCACCAATGGAGACCCTTCATTGGGCAAGCAAATTCCAAGCAGTGATAGGACATTGGGGTGAGTGAAATCTTTCATTATGATCCCTTCTTTCAGAAATTGGGCTACTTCATCCAAGTCTGTAATCCCTGAGAAATCCAGTAGCAAAACCAAATCAAAAAGTATCAACATTTCATATCATCCACATTAGAACTTGTCTGAAACTTGCAGGATGCTTACAAATCTGTCATTCCCTCCATTCAAAGTTCAATAAACTCAGTTAACGTATAGTTTGTAAAAGCTGGATAAGGGCTCCTTTCAAAATTATATACAGCAAGTCTACTCAGGAAAGGGAAATTATGAAGTTCTTACAGGATTGAGCACTCCACTTCCACAGCCAAATGAACTGGAAATGTCATTCGCTCTGCCAAACATTTGTCATTGCCAGAATATACTGAACATATTCACAATTTACATCTGAAGTTCCAGCACTTTTTCTTTTTTATATTTCACTGCCCTTCCTTTTTTATCTGCTAGGCACAATAAATAGAAACATCCCAATGTAAAGCCAGGGAGAGGGTCATTATGGGTGTGTGCCAACTTGCTCCTGCTGTTTTCCAACTGCCTCACTCATAAAAAGCAAACATAAAACAGCCTGGTGGCATGTAAAATGATACTGCTGCAGTTTCTTTCTTGCCTTTAATCTTATATTTGTCAGAGGGGGAAGGAAGGATGCAAACATTCTTTCACAGAAGACACAGCAAGGCAAATACATCCTTAGTGGAGCTTTTTCCAAGCTCTGGTGAAGTCCCCCACTGGAAAGTGGCCCCCATTCAACTGGTGAAATCGCAGCTCTGTACTACACATCTGTATAAATTGCCTCTGGTTTCTCTGAAATCGGTTAGGCATTTGCTACAAAAGATTATTGTGACTCACTATTCAAGGACTTCACAGCACAATGAATTTTGTTGTCATCAGTATCCAGCAAAGTCCCATGATAGACACACCCAAAGTGTCCTGCAAAAAGAACACATAAGATTAGCTTTATTTCCCATCATGGGTTAACCAAGTCACTGTAGAACAGTGATACTCATTCAGTGGCTGGGCCCACCTGGGGCTCTGTGACCTGCCATCTGTGGCTCTCCTGAGCACTGTGTTGCAATTTGGCAACCTGCCCCATGTTTCAGGAAAGTGGGGAAAATCCTTGCCCGGTGAAGCTTGTGTTTCTCAGGTGGTTTCCACCTCGAAACAGCCACTGCTAGAGTAACAGCTAAGCTGCAATCCTCCCTAGAATGTAGGTCTCATGCCTGGGACAGAAATAAAGCTGGCTCTTTTGGATGATGGTAATTGCTGCGGCCAGTGCTGTACACTATGTCACCTTTCAGACAATGCTAATATATATGGCTTGGCAACAACAGATCAACTAATAGTAGATCAGGATGAATGGAAGGAAGTGTTTTCACACACTTATAGAATTCACTGCCACAAGATATCATGATGACCACTAGCCTTGATGGCTTTAAAAAGAGGTTGGACAAATTTATGAAGGGTGAATATATCAGCCTCTATTAACAATGATGTTCAGAGACAAAATACCTCTGAATACCAGATAGTGGGAACAAACAGAGGAGACCAATTGCCACATCAGTGCCTGTATGCTTCCCAGAAGCATCTAATTGGTTACTATTGGAAACAGGATGCTGAATTACATAGACCTTTGATCTGATCCAGCAAGATTTTCTTGAGTTAACAATACTAAAACTATTTTTCAGTGTCACAGCCTCAACTGGCTAGAATATATAGATTTCAAGACATGTTTGCCAGTATTCTTGAACAGTCTTTTGTTGTAAACAGCCACTCATCCTGTTGCTAATGCCAAGTAATAATTGCTTCCTAGTTAACCATGCAAGGTTATTTTAGGCTAAAAAAATGACTACCGTAAATAGATGTGGAGAGACAAGGGAGTAAAATTTGTTGTGGAATAGTATTATGTGTTATTCAGTTCCCAGTTATATAGTGATTCGCAAGACTACACTAAATATCTACCAGAAATGTACCTCAATTGGCTAAAGGAACAGATCTTGGAGACCAGATGACCAGACACAGATAAAATAATAGTTAGTGGCTATAAACTACTGTTGTAACGTCAACTGCTGCTCCTACAATCTAAAGAGGATGGTCAGCTTTGAACCTCTCAGTGGAAACATATCAAATGTGGTTGTTCTGCTTTGTAGTTTTTGCCGGAAGCCTTGGCATATTCACGAACAGGAACTAGAATCTTGTCATGCTTCTAAATGGAAACATTGGCTCATTCTCAGAGAATGGTTTAAAAGGCCTGTGATACGGTATTCAACAAATACACCAAGTGCCTGGCTGTGATGTGAGCAGGTTGAATTATGCTCTGGGAACCGTATATATAAGCCCTTCTGAGCTCTTTGGAGAAGGAAGAAGAAAAGTTCTCGAAGATGCAGAAGTACTATTGACAAATGACAATTCTAGACCCACAGGGAACTGGCATCACTTGAACACAAAAGAGTCATGCTGAGAAAAATCATTCTCTGTGGGCTTCAGCTCCAAGGACACTGACTTGAGAATAGTCCACATATTTCATCTCTACAGGAATACATAAAACATCAAGCTGTTGAAATTCATGAGTATGCTTAGCCCAACCATATTAACACTTTCTTCTTCTATACATTTTTTAAAAAGAGTACAAACCCCTTCCCTGCCCAATGTTTGGGATCTGTAAAATGCTATAATATAGATCTGTGTAATGCAAGAAGGCCAAACATTAAGCCCTTACCGCAAGATGCTAAACTGCATTACACAGATGCTGGGATGCAATAGTTACTCACTTGTATAAATTCACAAAAGCATATAATGCATAGTTGTGGGGAAGTGCTGATTGCTTTGACCAGTGAAACACTTACCTCTTCCTATCACTTCACTGAAATGCACTATCAGGCTATCAGGGCCAATCACCACATGTTCAACTTCTTTGACTAAATCCGGATTTAAGGCGCTGAAGTCAATATGGACATTCGTCTGCAGCAATGGGCTGGCTAAATCAGAGTCTCCAGTAGACAAAATGGGTGATAAATCTGTGTGAGGATACTGGGCTGGCCTGCACGATCCATTCTGAGATAAAGTTGGAAACTGATCTACAAAAGGGGAAAATAGGAACTGGTTGCATCAAAAGGAAGTTTATTCATAGCAGAGTTCATTTGAGTTAGGCCTGAGCCTCAGAACAATTCCGAACCTTGGAATGCTCACTCTAACAAGAAAGAAAAGATTTGCAATGCAATCCTAAAAAGAGCTGTACCATTCTAAATCTACTGAGTTAATAGGCATAGAAAGTTGTAAATCTGTTGAGGATTGCACTGGAATGGTAAGAAAGAGCTTTCAGGCCAAACAGCACAATTCACTGAAAGGCTATAAGTCTCACACCTCTCTCTATCAAAATGCAGTTTCCCCAGCATTTGCATTTCCTACATTAGCATTTAATCATCTCAGGTTTTTACACACACAATAACACCACTCCAGATTACCACTGCCAAAGCTGACCGAGGCTGCCACAGTGAAATATAAATTTTATACAGGACTGTACTGAATGGTAAAGATCCAGTTTACTTTTTATTTTCCCAGAGTTTCTACTGATGCTATCTAGAGATACTTGGAAAATGACACATTAGCGAGAAGGAGGAAATAGCGAAGACCATCGGTTATTGTCAGATTATAATTTGGCGGGCAATTGGAAACCTGATGAATATTCCCCAAGTGCCCGTGACTCTATTTATTTAGTGGTAAATATTCAACTAGGAAAAATGGCTTGTGTGATTCATATCCTGCAGCTTTTAAAGATAACAAAGTTAGCACAGGAGATGAAATAACATTTACCCATGATTCTTTCAACACAAGAACTGCAATGTCTCACTTAGAAACAGTTTTTAATTGACTGATGGGACATTTCTTTCCTGATTTTTAGATTAATACAATCTAGAAGTATAAATATCATAAAGCAGAATGACAGTGAACCTGGAACGGTCCCACTGATGTATAAGAATAGCTACTCGGAGAAAGCTACTCAGCAAGGTTTCTTTGCAGTCCAGATTCCCATGCACATATCCTAGTGCAAAACATGAAAGCTGCAACATGTCAAGATCATGGGAGTTGCTTCACCTTATAAGTAATTTTTTCCATCACAAACCTCTCCCATATCTTATGATGCAGTAGTGATAGTGTAGGGGCATTCAAACATTTCCCATGTAGTAGCTATTGATGTCATAGCTGCTACTAAAAGAAGCAAAATCAGCCCTTTCCTTAGTTCTGGGACGTTGTCATCTTGCCAATAATTCAGAAACAGCACTACTGGTGTGAAATGGACTACGTAGCCTGTGATTAGGTATATTTGATCCAAAATTGTCTCCTGGAACTTTTTAATTTTCTCACACTCCAATTCACCTAATTTTGTCGAAGTGTAGTCTGTTGCACTGAATTACTTGAAGCGAGGGGAGTGGTTCCAAAACATGGAATATTTGACTTATTGTAATGTGGACAAGGCATGGATGTTATAAGTTATGATTTCTGGCACTGCTTATTTCTGGAATTGTATTAACTGTATTAATAAACAATTTAATAAATCAAAAATGGGGGTGAAGCTCAGAAGTGCTGTGTAAATATGCAAAGGTTTGTGAAGGGTTAAGGCTTCACAGAGCCAGACAGCTTGAGTGACAGGCTGCTCAAAGAAATTTGATTGGTTAGCAGTGGAGCAGAAAGACTTCAGAGCTGAATGCGGAAGAAAACTCAGTCTGAGTCTAGCCCTGACTGAGAAGAGTTGTGTGTTGACAGGGTTTGTGTTTAGCCCAGACGGAGAACTGGGAGGGCTGGCAGGAGGAATGGGTAGATCGGTGAAGACTACCATTTGTGCCAGAAAAAGGGATAGATCATCTAGTAATTAAGTAAGTTCCCTACCCAATTAAAGTAAGTAAGTTCCCTACCCAATTAAAAAAAAGGAGATAGCTCAAAGAGTGAAGTGATCCCTGGTGTTCAGAGACTGCCTTCTGAAACCTGAAGAGTAAGTAAAACTCAAGAAACTGTATTGGTGTGTTTAGTGAAGGGAACTGGATAGTGTATCCCTGCCTTCTGGAAACCAAAAGAGACAGTTAAGAAAGTATACTGGAGTGTTTAGGAAACACTGAAACAAAAGCCTCTCATCTTAAAGATTCTAAGACTGTATGAAAAGCTGTGCTTATACTGATTTACCTCAGAGTTCCTTATTGATTTACCTCAGACACTCTACCCCGATTTTACCTGACCTTTCCCCCTCTATGTTGAATAAAATATTTTGTTATTTTTTAAAAAAGCCTCTCGTGCCATCTCAGTAATTTAAGTTAAAGGGGTGATCTTGAACCTTCCCTCAGGTTTCTAGGCTGAGCCAATAGCAAAATATCATACTGTGACAGGGTGGGGAAGCCACAGATCTTCAGAGAAGAAGAAACTAGATAAAAAGGGCTGCTCTGTCAGAAAGGGACAAAAAAATGGAGGGAAAATTCTGCCTCTGAGGGAAGGAAGTTGGTGAGGTCATAATACGATGTTTTTATCAGACAGAGAAGAATTAATTGCAACTAGAATTGTGAACCAAGATTTGAACACTCTTGACTTCCGGTTTATGGCGGCACATTAGCAGACTCACCTCCCAGACCTCCCGGGGGTGAAGCTGCGCTCTGGCCGAAGGAGGGGATGTGCAGGCTTGCCCCCCCCGGGACCCGGCTGGCGAGAGACCAGGGCCGGCTCGCCCGCTAGGCGAACTAGGCCTTCGCCTAGAGCGCAAGCCGGCCGTCAGGGCGCAGGAGGAGAGGCGGGGCGGCCGCCGGCAGCCACTCCTCGCCGGCAGCCTGGCTGGCAAGAAGGGCAGGGGAAGGGGCCAAGGGGAGCGCTGCGCTGCCCAGGCCCGTGTGGCCAGGCAGGCAGGCAGGGAGCCAATCCCCGGGCCGCTGCTGCCGGCCCAATCAGCGCCCCCGAGGGAAATCCCGCGTGTTAAACGTGGGAATCCCCGGCGGCTGCCGCCCGGCAAGGCACTCCTCCTGGCTGACTTAGGGAAGGCGGCGGTGGCAGCCGGCGGGCCGGCCGGCGGGAGGGAGGGGTGGAGGTGAACAACAGCAGCGGCCGGGAGGGAGGGAAGCGAACAGCAGCAGTAGCAGCCGGAAGGGGTGGGGGAGGGGAGCAGCAGCAGCGCTCAAGGCCCCC